CTCCCGTAAAGATTTACACCCTCGGAAACCCTGTACAGGGTCGCTATGGGTCGGACCCGACTCAACGGCACTTAACAACAACAACAACAATATGTCATTAGCTACAGGAGTCTAAAAATTGTCTAGGAAGTAAAAACAAAAAGTGCTCTGTAACACATAAATACTCACTTTCTTATCTGAAATATATAATATGGAATTGTACACTTTTGCCCAAACCCATCTGCTGCTCTTTCACCAGCACCACCCCCACTTTATTTATTGTTCTATTAAGTTAGAAACTGAAACCAACAGAAATTCTGACTTGCTCTAAATCCATGTTAGCAGGAGAATCCGTGACTTAATGATTTCCAGGCCAGCTCATTTTTCTCTGTTCTAGACTGCTTCTCCCTACTAAATAATCAGACAAGGCATAACCAGGTATTTCAGCTTTAAAACTCAAGTGCCTATTTTCTTGCAGAGGAGAAAAGCCATACTCTTGTGGCATATGTGGCAAATCCTTCTCAGACTCCAGTGCCAAGAGGAGACATTGCATTTTGCACACAGGCAAAAAGCCTTTCTCCTGCCCTGAATGTAATTTGCAGTTTGCTCGCTTAGACAACTTGAAAGCTCACTTGAAAATCCACAGCAAAGAGAAACCCGCGGTGGATGCCAGCAGCATCTCTGGCAGTAATGGCACGGAAGAGGTCAGGAACATTCTCCAGCTGCAGCCATATCAACTCTCTACCCCCGGAGAGCAGGAAATTCAGCTTCTCGTAACCGAGTCTGTACACAACATCAATTTCATGCCTGGTCCTAGCCAGGGAATCAGCATCGTCACAGCGGAGAGTTCCCAGAACCTGACCACAGACGAAGCTGCTAACCTCACCCTGCTGACGCAGCAGCCGGAGCAACTGCAGAATTTGATTCTTTCAGCGCAGCAGGAGCAAGCTGAACACATTCAGAGCCTCAGTATGATTGAAAGTCAGATGGAACCCTCCCAGCCCGAGCCAGTGCATGTAATCACACTCTCCAAGGAAACCTTGGAACATCTTCACGCCCATCAAGAGCAAACAGGGGAGCTCCATTTAGCAACCAGTACTTCAGATTCAGCTCAGCACCTGCAGCTGACACAGGAGCCTGGGCCGCTGCCACCCACCCATCACGCGCCCCAGCCCACACAGCTTAACCAGGAGCACAGCTGACCTGTGAACAAGTTTGACTCCTCTCTTGGTCTCTTTTCTGGAAGCCAGCCATATCTGGATTGTAAATGTTCGAAGTTTGGCTTTCTAAAGCGCTGACTTACAGATCCTTGCAGAGATGTGATAACCAGCTGGAATTTGTAATGCTTTCCAGGCAGCTAGATGTGCCTGTCCCTGACTTGTAACATATTTTGGCATTTCAATATTAATGAATGGTTTTCATTTTCATCTTAAAGACAAGCAGTTTTTCTTTGGGACATTTATGTAGATTTTTCCGTAGGTATTAATGTTCACAGCCATAGGTTATGGTCTTTCTGAAGTTTCCCGTTACATGTTTTTTTCTTTTTACTTTATAGAACAAAGTAAAAAAAAAAAAGGTCATAGGTTGTTTGAAATGGGTCAGATCTTGAGTTCACTTACCTATTTCTCAAATCAATTCAGTTGCCGCTACAAGACTACTACAGCCCACTTAGGGTTGTGTTTGTCTGATCTCATTTGGGGAATTTGTCCTCTTACTGCTTATAATGCCCTAAGAAAGAGTAACTCGTTCAATACTTAATGTACCTAGAACTGTCATGCTTAAGGTACCTTCAAAGAACTAAACGAAATGTCTATTCTACTCAGTCTAAATTAGCAAGATACCCAAAACTCTAGGATTATTTTTTTTTATTCTGAAATTTTTTCTAAGAAACATGGACTTTTTACTTAATTTTACTTAAGATGTCTAGATTGGATCAAGACATCCCAAATTCTAAATGAAGCAAAGATCTTTATGACAAAGTCAAAGCTTTCTTAACTATCCTACAACAGTATAATTGTATTCAGTATAATTTGTTAAGTGAATGCTACTGAATTCTAATCAATCTCTAAAATTATTGATCTGTGTATTGTGTCCAATAATTTTCTGGAGATGGGAACTTCTAATAATTGAATTTTATTTCAGACTAGGCTAAATCCCAACAAAATGGAGACAAGTTTTTTTTTTTTAAATGAAATGAGTTAACTTGTTTGTTTTTTGGGGGGAGGTGGGATGTACACAAAAACAACAAATTATTTTTTTAAAAGTAAATGTCCTCTCCAAATCTGAGCTCTGGTAGCATAGTGGTTATGAATTGGGCTGCTAACCTCAAGGTCGGCAGTTCAAAACTACCAGCCATTCCATGGGAGAAAGATACGGCTTTCTACTACCGTAAAGATTTACAGCCTTGGAAACCCTGTGCAGGGTTTTGAGTTGGAACCGACTCCACGGTACTTAACAACAACAACAATCTGAAAACTCATAGAATTAGAAGTCAGCATATGTCCTTAATCATGTTAGGATTATAAGTAATTGCCAAAAAGTATGTTTGGGTTGGATTTTAGAACTCAGGGTGTTTATTGAGCACTTTCCTGACTGCTTACTCTCAAGTAAACTGGTAGAGAATTTTTTAGAAGACCCCCCTAACCCCCCCCAAAAAAAAGGGGAGCTATGGGATATTTAAATTGACAGAATGGAGAGTAGGCATGACCTACCCTACAGTTAGCAAAGTTACTTACTCTCTTGTTTCTGGTATCTTTGATTCCACTGGATTAAAGTGTTTTGTGGGGTTTAAAGTTAGAGAATTTTTCAGGTTTGAGAAAAAATGAACACCTTTTTGTTGCATATTTGCCACGTTACATATTGTGTATGGAATTTTCAAAATTATGTTTTATGTGAATCAACCAAAGTAATGTTAAATCAGACCTAACTAGAACACAGGGACAAGTTTTACAAATACAGTTATATTCAAAGTATTATTTCAGGTTCTTAACTTCAGTCGTTTAAAGTATTTGACCTGATTTTTAAAATGGAAAGCTCTTGCCCATATTTTCTCCAAGAGGTGTATATGGTATTAACATCAATGAATTTTTGAGTACTCATTCTGGATAGCTAGACACTTGGTCAGGAGTTAAAGGGCTCCTGATACCACCTGTTGACCTAGCTTTATAACAGTCTACCTTGGTACTGTCTGTTGGAGCCACATATGTCATTTTGCATTTTTTCATAGCCACTTAAAAACTAAAAAAGAAACAGGTGAGATTAATTTTAATCATGTATTTCATTTAACCCAACATTTACAAAATAATTTCAAAATGTAACTGATAAAAAAATGTATTAGAGATATTTTACAGTCTCTTTTGCATACTAGGTCTTCACATTGTGCATATTTTATACCTCCTAACTACATATTTCAATATGGGTGTAGTAACATTCATCCTCAATCAAACAATAAAATTGATTGAGGAATAGGTTTTATCAGTTTTACAGCTGAAAACCCAAGTTCACATATTCAAGTAGTTCCATACATAAAAATCTCTTCTGTACCTGAAGTGATTATCAGTTTTAAAATTTGTGTTAAAGTAAGATAAAATTCAGTTCTTCACCCACTCTAACCACATTGCAAGTGTTTGACAGCCACATGCAGCTACCTGGTGACTCCTTTCTGGTACGGCATAAGCTTACCTGCTTCTAGCTTGTGAGCCAGTCCCAGTTACAAAAATACCTTCTAGAAGAGTTCAGCGGTAGCTGACCAGCTGTCAAAGGGAAGGGAGAGAAAAGGATGGCTCTTTAACTTAGCATGTATCCCAAATGTAAATCGTGCCCCTTTGAATGAAATCCTTAATATAAAGGCCAGCAAAAGCTGTACACAAAGGAAATGTCATGCACATAAAATGTTTCCGACTCATCTTTAGGAAATTACATTGCTGGCTCAGTGTTTCACAATTCATTTCCTACTAAATGTGCACACCTTTTTAAGTTGTTTTAATGAGCTCTGGTAGC